GGATGGCACCCCATCCCTCAAGCATGTCAACTGCACCACTTCCCCACAGGATCAGGTACTGATATTCTGCCCAATATTTAGTGATGATATTTTAAATTGGTTTAGCTGGACAGCATAGATTACATTCTTCCAGTCTCAAATTCTTTGAAGAAATGTAATTGTTCAGGTCTACATATTAGCTCAAATCTTTGATAACATTTACAGCATATAAAGAATCCTTTTCAGCATCTCTATTTATATCAAAACCTCCTATGATTTCCTGAAACGAACAAGATTTTTAAGTGTTTTCATCTCACAGCAATAAATATTCATTCAACAATCTGTCAAATATCCAGCTTCAAAAGACAATGGCTTGGAGGCAAATATATGTTAATTATGGCGCTTGAACTGTTCAGCAACTGAAGCTGTAGACCTATACTTCCAAATAGATTTTACTGATTTTCTTTTCCCTGTTCTTAAAGTGAAGAAGTAGGGAAAAAGGCAAAACAGAAAGATCAAGAAGTGTAAGGGAATATTTTAGTATAATATGAATACAATGCTATAACAACAATAAAAATTACCTGGCCTAAAAGAGCTGGCCTTGCAGTCCAGCAGGTCAATATGACATTATGTAATGAATTCTAAATTAATTGGACTAAGCTGGCAAGTATGATGTAAAAACAACAGGGACTTTTTTTTTTTCTTTGGGGGAAAAGTTCATTTACAGTCTACCATTTGATTGTTTCTCACATATTCATCACAAACATGTTTATCCTTGTTAAGGCAGTATCAGAAGTACATTTTCACTGGTAATTAAAAGCAGTTCAAAACACAGATTATTTAACTTATTCCATATCCAGATAACAGAAAGGTAGAAAAGTTTAAAAATTAGTATTTTTACCTTTTCTAGCTTTTTAGCCTCAATATGTCGCAGCACCTGTTCCCTCCAGTCATGAGGGACTTTACTTTTTCCTGAAGGGTCTAATAAAGAGTGGTCGGAATTAACCCTTGGGTTTGATCTCTTTGAAGGGCTAGTCCATGAGTAATTAAAGTCACTAACTGACATAGTTCGTTCTGGTATTTCGTTCACCGATGACCGAGCACTCTGTGGTCGGGGTACATTTGGATCATCAATACTATATGTCCTGGCAGAAAGAGGTCTCTCTTGCCCAGACATTATTGATGGAGCTCTTCCCACTGAATGTAAGTCTCTGTATGTTAAACAGTCCCCTTCAGGAACCTGGGCCTGCCTTGAAGGTCCAATATCTCCAACATTTACAGAAGCTGTAGAGGATACACTGCTCTGCCTTTGAAGAGTGTGTCTGGTTGCTCCAGGGAGTGGTCTATCATTTGGTGGAATAGCCCACACATCTATGTGTCTCCCAGTCATCTGTTGTTGAGCATTATACACAGTGCTGGCTCGGACATTGTTATGATTGCATAAATTCATATTGGCAGAATGTTTTACGTAGCTGGGGATTTCTGTGCTATCAGACCTAAGCAGACGTGAGGGAGGTAAGCTGCCTTGTTCTACTTGGATGTTTTGTTTCTGGGGCCACAAGGTGTCTTTCATTGTTGCAGTGCTGCTGTACTGAATATTATACTGGGGAGTGCAGAACATCTGTGCACCACTTGTCACTGATTCTCTCACTACATTAGCACCTTCAGGATTGTGATTTGAGTCAAACTTGAACACAGTTTTTGTAGAAGATACTAAATCAGATGACAATGATGGCCCAGGAAAAACCTGCAGAGGCTGATCATACAGAAGAGTAGCAGATTTACTTCGGACTATGTTTTCTCCATCTGCACTACCAGATGCTGATTTTACCACTGAGTTTGTCTGTTGAGATCTATTCTCATTGACAATATCATAGATTTTCAGACCAATGTCCATACTGATGATGCTGTGAGATTTCATCATAGGACCACTTCTTCGTGGGGACAAATCTTCAGTGCTCCTTGAAACAGACAGCTCAGCAGAAGAATCACCATCAACTGTAGTGCTTCTTGTTAGTTCGTCTTTACTGGGAGACTGTACTGCTTCCTCAGGATGTCCATTTACTTTATTTATAGGATATTTATTCCCGTTTTCCAAGTACTCACTCTCTTTTTTCATATTGTTATTCAAAAAGCCCTTTACTGAAACTATTTCCTGTGTTTGTAACCTTTCTACAGGAACTGACACTGCCTCTTCACTAACCAGTTTACTGATATTCATGTTTATTTGGTCTGATTTGTGAGACTCCTCCGTAGGAGTGCTTATATCAACACCTTTTCTTATCAGGCCTAATCTTTCTTCAATGCTTAATTCACGTTCAGACAAATTTGTAAGCTTCTCTTGCACATTTATTGTTTCTTCTACTGTAATGCTCAATCCATCTCCCTTTTGCAAAAGATTATTCAAATTTTCTTCTTCTTGCCTGGAAAAAAAGATGTCTCTTAAAAGAAGTTCCAAAATGAACCAACATATTCCTTTAAGAACTGTTTCAGAAAAATTAATCATTAAAATGCAACACAGTCATACTGTACACACAATACAAGACCAATATACAACCAAATTTATGATTTGCTATCCTACCATTACAAAAATATACTATACAGATGGCTCATTTTGGCAACTCTTGTTTGTGTCATCAATTACGTGATTCTGATTTCAGAACTTGAATTAAATTTAACAGGAATTATTAAAGACAGTTTAAAAGTGTGAAAAAGTACAAAGCAACAACTACTCAATTTTTTTTATCAAATACTTTCAAGTTCCATGACAATTTTGGACAAATGTCTTGTTTCTATTGGCAAATTTAAAAAAAAAAAAAAAAAAGCACCTTTTAACTGGAACCACAAAAAAACAACCTGTAAGTCCATTCTTTATAAGTTTCTAGATGCTTTTTATAATTAAGTTAGTAATCAAATTTATCTATCTTCAACATTATGCAAATAAAAACACAGAGCTTTTAAAATGGTGTATTGAAAGTATTTTGCAGGGATAACAAATTATTAAGGATGAAATTATTATACCGTATTAATAGGACATATGGGAACCATGTCTAAAATTGGCCTCTGAATTTTATTGTTCTCCTGATTTTTTGTTGGTTTTGGGTTTGGTGTTTTTTTTGTTTTTTAAGAGAACTATTCCATTATTTAACATTATTTCAAAACATTGAAATTTAAATTATTTCATGAGTGATAAAGGAATCATTAATGAATTAAAGGAATGCACATGTAATACGAAATATTAAGTAAAATTCTTCTATTTACTCAGTGGCATACAGTATTTTACAAACCTGATCTTGGATAAAACAGCAGCATGTATTTCTTTGTCTGGAGAACAGAGAGAAATATCTTGGCTACTATCGGTATTTAAGGAAACAGAATCTGACATTCGAGAAGGAGAGGAACAGTTGCTGTTATTTTGATTGCTATTGTGGGTAGCTTCATCTGATAAGGAATCAGCATCTTTTGAATCATCTGAAATAAAAATTTGCAATTTAGTTAAATGGCTATTAAACAGATGTCTGTAATGTATGTATGTTACAGTGTTTAGAAATTGTATCTTGTTCTTCAGTAATACTTATTACTGGAAACTAACATATATTACTGGAAACTAACATATAAGCTAACACCTTTGCAAACTTTGTATAAACTTAAAAAAGACTGTTGGCAATATTTCCTATTTTTAAAATATTTGTCTCAATATAAACAGCCCTCACTTGTTAATGAAATTTAACTTGTTGCTTTATTCCAAGTTTCCTTGGCATAAGCTAGTGCACTACATTATGTAATATTTCCCAAAAATATCTATCAAATCATATTTCTTTTTTTGCAATGGTTCCTAAGTTTTGAATTACATGAGTCTATTGGCCCTTATGAATATGAAGTACACTGCTTCACATGCAGGATTTTGAAAGTGTACACAGTTCCTGCTTTTGAACATTCTGTCATTGTTAAACAGCTATTTATTAGACCAAAAAGTCTGGAAGGACCTGGATCACTGGATGAGCTCTATATAGTTTTATAAATGTAAAAAACACGAAAGAAAAATGTTCTTCTGCAGAGTTGGAACCAATGCATTCCCATGCTTTGCAGATCACTTAGGACAACATTTTCAGAGTCATTTACACCTGTGCACATTTATTCTTGCATAATGCATGCGTACTTACATCCTACATCCATATAAAAATCATTTATCTGCGGGACTTCAAGCCAGCCATAATATTGACATGGGCAAACATAAGTGTACAAATACATTTAAATTTTTACTTCAAGACACAGTTACAGGTGCCAAAAGCATAAATTTTGTGAAACTAATTTCTTTTTCCAGAGACAAGAAAGAAGTTTTGACTTAATACTTTAGCCAGGCATAAAAACCCAAATATGGCATTGATAAACATCAGTCTTTTCACCTGCATGTGATACTCAGCAGACTCTTTTTGCTACCCTCCATGTGGTTTTCCTTAATCCTCACTAAATCTTACCCTTTTACATGTAATGGCCAGAAAAGCCTTTTGTCCTGGAAAGTACTGGACTAGGATATCATATGAAGCAAAATACAGTCTGCTCGTCAACTGTTAAATTTTGTTTTCTCTGAATCCTAGGTCATTCCTTACTCTTAATGAAATGGTTACCCAGATTGAAATTATCTTTCAGAGAATATAAAACTTAGTTAACAAAAACTATGTTCCAAAGTTTCCTGTGAGAGGAAAGAAAAAAAAAAAAAGAATAAAGTGACTCTGTAGAAGGAGTTGTCACAAGAGAAGTTTATTCTTAAACCTTAGGAGGAGAGCACAGCTTCTCTGAGAAATTTAAACAAGTGATATTGCTGCCAAAAGCAGCAATAGTCCACAAAATCGGGGGAATGGGAGGAATATGGAATATTTCCAAGGTAAATACCACTTTCTGCAATCCTTTTCTTAAACATATCAAGAGTGTGTTCAAGCTAACAGTCCCCCAAAACACAAGCATCTCCTTTCGCCCTCTACTTTTATACTAATGACAAGAATCAGGAAAATTAGGATGTGAACACAGCTTTCTCTACCACACAAGTATTTTTTTCTGCTTTCATTACTTAACTAGAGAATTGATCGTCTATCTTAAAACAAAAAATCTACTTTTACATAATTCAATTGGAAAAAACTAGCCATTTTGAGTCATGAAATTATCAGAATTGCACACCACTTCTATGTTTTTTTTTATGGTATCTAACCTTTTTTGTTATTGCTAAGAGCTACCACTTTTGGTTGATTTATGGAGGTTTCTATCAGTGGTGGTCGCACTTCTGCCATTTTCATCTCTTCATCAGAGGAGAGTTCTTCTGATTCCTGCTAAAGGAAAACCAGCTTCATTATGCTGTGCATTTTAAAAACTGCTTAAAAGGTTAAGTAAATGCTTTCTATCTAAACTGTCACCCACTGAACAATAAAGGGGAAAAAGATAAACAAGCAACATAACAGGCATAACATATCAATTGTGTAGTGCATTTGTACTGCAAGTCAACTCAACTTAGTAATATTTGCCAATGAATTATCTTTAAGAAGCAGCATAGGCAGACTTGCATTGTCACCGATGAACAGTCAAACTGGTATTAACTTCAAGTGCAAGAACCTACTCGGAGCAAGCAGATGCAGTCTCTGTTCCGCCACTGGAGAGAACCTCCAGCTGAGTCCAAGTCAGAAAGTTATCACTGAACCAGCGAACACTACAAACTGAGTAGATGGGTATTGGTTCGGCAGAAAAATGCTCAAACTGAAACAGCTATGGAGTAGCATTACAAAGACAGTCTTAGGAATGGAGAGCCATGCTGTGAGAAAAGACTGAAAGACCTTGGCTTGGCTAGTCTAGCAAAACAAAGAGCAAGTGTAACTTCGATTGAAACCTTTAAGCATACATTGGCAGTAAATTCTAAAAGGAACAGAAGTTATTTATCTTCAAGAATGTGGTGGGTTGACCCTGTCTGGACACCGGGTGCCCACCAAAGCCGCTCCATAACTCCCCTTCACAGATGGACAGGGGAGGGAAAATGTAACTGCTGCACTGATGGGCTGCATCCAAAGCAGCATGGCCAGCA